TTGACCTCAGAAGGCCATATTAGGTCAATGTCGTTGACCTCCTAAGGCCATATTGCATCGATGCCATTGACCTCCTAAGGCCATATTAGGTCAATGTCGTTGACCTCCTAAGGCCATATTGCATCGATGCCATTGACCCCAGAAAGCCATATTTGGTCAATGTCGTTGACCTCCTAAGACCATGTTACATCGATGCCATTGACCTCAGAAGGCCATATTAGGTCAATGTAGTTGACCTCCTAAGGCAATATTACATCGATGCCATTGACCTCAGAAGGCCATATTAGGTCAAACTTCTAATCCTGACCTACAAAGCCGTTCATAACACTGCCCCTGACTACCTCACCAACCTGATCCCCAAGTACCACCCTACCCGTACCCTTCGCTCCTCACAGGACCTCCTTCTATCCTGCTCCCTGGTCTCCTCCTCCCATGCACGACTGCAGGACTTCTCCAGGTCCTCCCCTATCCTCTGGAACTCACTGCCCCAATCCATCCGACTGTCGCCTTCCCTCCCCACATTCAGGCGCTCCCTCAAAACCCATCTCTTCAGGGAAGCCTACCCCACCCTCACCTAACGGCCATCCTCCCTCATTCCTCCGACCACTTCATCCCCCTCAGCCACTTCATTCCCCTCAGCCACTTCCTATTGTTCCACTACCCCCTCCCTCCTAGATTGTAAGCTTGAAAGAGTAGGGCCCTCTTACCCCTCGTACGCTGTCTGTTTTTGTACTGTGCCATGTATTGTCCCCCCTATTGTACAGCGCTGAGCAAACCCTTTGGCGCTATATAAACTCGATGTAATAATAATAATAATAATAATGTCGTTGACCTCCTAAGGCCATATTGCATCGATGCCATTGACCTCAGAAAGCCATATTTGGTCAATGTCGTTGACCTCCTAAGGCCATATTACATCGCTGCCATTGACCTCAGAAGGCCATATTAGGTCAATGTAGTTGAACTCCTAAGGCCATATTAGGTCAATGTCGTTGACCTCCTAAGGCCATATTGCATTGATGCCATTGACCTCAGAAGGCCATATTAGGTCAATATCGTTGACCTCCTAAGGCCATATTACATCGATCCCATTGACCTCAGAAGGCCATATTAGGTCAATGTAGTTGACCTCCTAAGGCCATATTAGGTCAATGTCGTTGACCTCCTAAGGCCATATTGCATCGATGCCATTGACCTCAGAAGGCCATATTAGGTCAATGTCGTTGACCTCCCATATTGCATCGATGCCATTGATCAGAAGGCCATATTAGTCAATGTCGTTGACCTCCTAAGGCCATTTGATCGATGCTCAGAAGGCCATATTAGGTCAATGTAGTTGACCTCCTAAAACCATATTAGGTCAATGTCGTTGACCTCCTAAGGCCATATTGCATCAATGCCATTGACCTCAGAAGGCCATATTAGGTCAATGTCGTTGACCTCCTAAGACCATATTGCATCGATGCCATTGACCTCAGAAGGCCATATTAGGTCAATGTAGTTGACCTCCTAAGGCCATATTAGGTCAATGTCGTTGACCTCCTAAGGCCATATTGCATCGATGCCATTGACCTCAGAAGGCCATATTAGGTCAGCACCATTGATTTCACAAGGCCTTATTAGGTCAATATCATTGACCTCAGATGGCCATATTAGGTCAACGCTTTTGATCTCATAAGGCCATATTAAGTCAATGTCATTGACCTCAGAAGGCCATATTAGATCAATGCCATTGACCTAATTGGCTATGTGGTAATATTAGGTCATTGAGGTCATGAGCATTCCCACCCCTTTGTGCATGTGCACATGGTGGGCAGGAAATGTACCATTAATAGCTGATTGGCCCAGGAATGGCAGCTTTTTTTTTTGGTTTAGCAGAACCCATTTGGACCAAAGCCAAGCTCATCAATACTAAGCCCCATGGCAGGGCCACCTCTCGTCACCCTAGGTCTCTTGCTCCTGATTTGGATTATGGAACATCTCCCCCTCTCATCATCTCCATAGCATAGCAGGGCTGGTACTATAGCTTGAGATTTTCAGTGCAGTAGAGGCCGAGTGCACAGGAAGCTACAAGATCACTGGATTTCTGATAGGATCAATCCTTTTGCATATTATCAAGGAGACATAACAAAGTGCTTTCATTGGAATATTTAACAAACCAAAAGGGGCAAATAAGAAAAGGTCATTGTTAGGGTTTACATACGCTTTAATTCCCTACTGGGATTCCTCAGTATGTAATGTATGTCTATACTGTACAAAGGCCTGAAATGATCTCTCTTCTGGAATGCTACCAGTGCAAATACAGACTAGCCCTTGGCATGATGCTGTGAAAGCTTTTATCTGATAAAAAATATTACACTATCAGCAAGGAAACATGTGCTTTAAAACCAAACACATTCATGGCCAACCTCAACCAAGGTAGTTCAGGTATCTCTTATGATAACAGTCTCTTTCTCGTTGCCTGACCTGTTTTCTTGGCAGATTAGGCAATTTTGTACCATCTGCTGTACTGGGCAACCCTATTGGCACCTGTATGTCTATTTGAGCTGGTAGATTATTTAGTATTTCGGATTTCCAGCCATTTGAGATTATGTCTTCCCTACCATATGGCCAAAGAACATAGACAACCCTCCAAATAATTGCAATTTAGTCAGTTGTGCACTTTCAAACTTGTGGCAACATTTTGGGGAAGGCTGTTTTCCATTCAAGCATGACTGAACCCTTTGCACAAAGCCATGGTTTTAGGAGTTCGGTGTGGAGGAACTCGAGTGGCCTGCACAAAGGCCTGACCTCAACTCTACTGAACACCTTTGAGATGAATTACAATGTTGATTATGAGCAAGGTCTTTCCAACCAACCTCAGGACCTCATAAATGGGCACAGATTCCCACAGGCATACTCCAGAATCTTTCTAGAAGAGTGGAAAGCTGGCATAGACTTAACGAGAGGCCAACTCGATACTAAAGCCGATAAAATGAAATGTCCTCCACCTAGTGTACTGGTCAGGTGTGCATAAATCATTGGCCTTATTGTGTACTATTTAGGGATTCCATAAGACATGGTTAGATCATACTGATTTGGCCCTAGTATGTGTATGTATGCATGTGCAGTGGAGACCTTAGTTGGTAAACCCCTTGAGGGCAGGGACTGATGTGAATGGACAACATGTAAAGCTCTGTGTAAGTTGTTGGGGTTATAGAAATACCATAAATAAGTCCAAGGCTCATTTCAACATGGGATGGTTCAAAGATCTGAAAATTACCTATACCACCCCTCCCGCTATGCTCAATTGTCAACAGCTCATAACAGGAGCCTAACTGTCAATACACCAGATGCATTTTACATTGCTGGAAGTGTGGGTGACCTAGTGGAACCCAAAGTAGAAAGCTGAGGAACGTGTTTCACAGCGCACCTCATGTTATGCCCTCTATCGATGCATCCAATGGAACGAGCGGCACACATGATCACACACACATGGCAAATCCAGCATTGCACTGCAGTGCCAACCATTTTGCTGATGCTCACATGGTCCTGCATCTCCATCTTCCTCTTTTACATCATTTGGGAGCTGGTTGTCTCTTCCTGGTTTTTACAGCCAACCCTCTGTAGGAACTAGGAAGAGACAGCTGGCCCCCTGATGACATGCAATGGCACATGCACTATAGACTACCCTGAGACCTCCAAGGATGAATGACATGAGGATCCCAGAAGGCTGCAGGCAGTTGGGGGGTCATCATTCTAGCCTAGACTAGAATCCCATAGTCCATCAGTGGTTAGCACATGTGCCTTGCAGCTGGCCCCTTATTACACACTTGCTCTGTGGAACACCATCAGGGGGCATATGCTGTAAATTAGACCAAACCCTCTTGGGATCTGTGATGTGAGTATCCCAAGAAGATGTTGGCAGCGGGGGGGACAGCATTCTAGCCTAACCAGAATTCCACAGTGGCTCAGCAGTTAGCACATCTGCCTTGCAGAACCAGGTGCCTCAGTTTGAATACCAACCAAGACACTGTGTGCATGGAAATTTCATGTTCCCCGTGTGCTTGTGTGGCTCTCCTCGCACTCTGCAAAGACATGCTGGTAGGTTAATTGGCTCCTGTCAGAGTTGTCCCTAGTATGAGTATGTATGCATGTGAGATAGGGACCTTAGATTGTAAGCTCCTTGGAGGCCTCTACTCTTGTGACTGTGGTGGATTTTGCATTCAAATCACATTCCTGTAAGTACCAAGTTTTTTTTGCCTATCATAGTATACGAATGTCTTATTTACATGTATATCTGTTGACCCACATCTTACAGAAGCAATAACGTAACCAAACGCACAGCGGTGAATGCAGGTCTATTCGCTCTATTATGTTGCAAAGGCAAGAGGAGCCTAATAGGGTAAACAAACCTGCATTCACCACTACGTGTTTGGTTATGTTATTCCTTTTAATCTTCCGTAAGATGTGGGTCATCAGAAACAAATGTAAATAATGGGGTTGCCTGGATTTTGAGTTTGGCTCTGGTTCCTCTCTGACTCGGTGTTTGCTTTTTAAGGAGAACTTGTAAGCTGGCTGATACTTTGAAACAAAAGGTCCAGTGTGTTTGTGTCCTATAACCCTACAAGACCTGCTTGATCACTAAGGTTCTCCGTAGAGTACTCAGAGACTAGTGTGTTGTGTACTCAAGAGACGAGTTTCTCTTCCTAATCCTCCTGAGGAGATGGCGGCTTGTCTTTGAAGAGACCCTGTCACTAACTTAAAAAAAATTGCAGACAAAAAAAAAAAAATCTTTTTTTAGATGCTTACTTGCAGTTCCATAAATAATTTTTTATTTACTCCTAATGCGTCTCTGAATTTGCTAGAAAATTTGATTACTCCAGGATGAGTCAGTTCCCTAGCACAGTCTACTCTTTCCTTGCAAATCTCATATTGGTGGTCATTGGGAAGAATGTTCCTTACATTGGTGATCATTGAGAAGAATGCCCCTTACATAGAGGGTCAGTGGGGGAATGTTCCTTACATTGGTGGTCAGTGGGAAGAATGTCCCTTACATTGGTGGTCAGTGGGAAGAATGTTCCTTACATAGGTCGTCAGTGAGAAGAATGCCCCTTACATTGGTGATCAGTGGGAAGAATGTCCCTTACATTGGGGGTCAGTGGGAAGAATGTCCCTTACATTGGTGGTCAGTGAGAAGAATGCCCCTTACATTGGTGCTCAGTGGGAAGAATGCCCCTTACATTGTTGGACAATGGGAAGAATGCCCCTTACATTGGTGGTCAGTGGGAAGAATGCTCCTTATATTGGTGGTCAGTTGGAAGAATGTTCCCTACAATGGTGGTCAGTGGGAAGAATGTCCCTTAGTTTGGTGGTCAATGGGAGGAATGCCCCTTACATTGGTGGTCAGTGAGAAGAATGCTCCTTTCATTGGTGGTCAGTGGGAAGAATGCTCCTTACATTGAGGGTCAGTGGGAAGAATGCTCCTTACATTGGTGGACAATGGGAAGAATGCTCCTAACATTGCTGGTCAGTGAGAAGAATGCTCCTTACATTGGTGCTCAGTGGGAAGAATTCTCCTTACATTGGTGGTCTGTGAGAAGAATATTCCCTACAATGATGGTCACTGGGAAGAATGTCCCTTACATTGGTGGTTAGTGAAAATAGTGCTCCTTGCATTGGTGGTCATTGAGAAGAGTGCCCCTTACATTGGCGGTCAGTGGGAATATTGGTCCTTACAGTGGTGGTCAATGAGAAGAATGCACCTTACATTGGTGGTCAGTGGGAAGAATGTCCCTTACATTGGTGGTCATTGGGAAGAATGTTCCTTACATTGGTGGTCAGTGGGGAAGGATGCCCCTTACATTGGTGATCAGTGGGAAGAATGTTCCTTACATTGGTGGTCAGTGAGAAAAATGCCCCTTACATTGAGTGTCAGTGGGAAAAATGCTCCTCACATTGGTGGTCAGTGGGAAGAATGCCCTCCTTACATTGGTGGTCAGTGGGAAGAATGCTTTTTACATTGGTGGTCAATGGGAGGAATGCTCCTTACAGTGGAGATCAGTGGGAAGAATGCATTTTACATTGGTGGTCAGTGGGAAGAATGCTTCTTACATTAGTGGTCTGTGAGAAGACTGTTCCTTACATTGGTGGTCAGTTGGAAGAATATTCCCTATAATGGTGATCAGTGGGAAGAATGTCCCTTAGTTTGGTGGTCAATGGGAGGAATGCCCCTTACATTGGTGGTTAGTGAGAATATTGCTGTTTGCATTGGTGGTCATTGGGAAAACTGCCCCTTACATTGGCAGTCAGTGGGAATATTGGCCCTTACAGTGGTGGTCAATGAGAAGAATGCACCTTACATTAGTGGTCAGGGGAATAATGACCCTTTACAGATAGCTAAAATGATCATTGATGTCAGTGCTTTATTATCTGAGAGGCAACAATTGCTAATTGCCCAAGGAACCCCTAGCAACCCCTTGGAGAAACACTGGTGTAAAGTATCATCCTTTGGGAAAATTGTTGTTGAAGTGAATGGTCTTGTTACATGTCCCTTTAAAGTATATGTACAACCTAACAATGAAATTCTCTTGTTTGCTACCTCTTAGTTTGTTCCAATTCACCCCAAAGGTGTCCAGTAGGGTTGAGGTCAGGGACTGTGAAGGCCACTCAAGTTCCCCAAATCTAAGCTGGTCAACCATGTCTATAGAGCTGGCTTTGCACACAGGGGCACAGTCATGCTGAAACAGAGAAGGACCTTCACTAAACTGTTGCCACAGGGTTGGAAGCTCACAATCATCTAGAATGTCTCTGTGGAGCTGGTTTTGTGAACCTGAACTCAAAATTTTGGAGGGGTGTCTAAGTACTTTTGGAAATATAGTGTTTGTGTCCATACAAAGTCCAGAATCATATATGTGTTCATAAACTTGCAAGCTCAGTCTCAGAGTAGCTTCCCTGTCCAAAAAGTGAATGTAGAAAGGAAGTTCGTGGACATAGTTCAATGCATAATCTCACTGGAGTACAGAGAAAAAAAATACATTGACTCATAATTTCATGAAACGATCTGAGCACCTGTAAATGACTAACGGTAGAGCAATGAAACAGAAAGCTGATTTGTGTGAGCTTGTTCACACTAAAAATCACATGGGTTAACGCACATAGCGTTGACATGCTTTATGACTTTCCTAAAAAAGGTTCTTCAAAGACCAACTTTACCTTCATTGGAGTCTCCAAGACATAGGAAGCCGGTTGGTAAATCAACCTTCCAGTGGTCACAAAAAAACTTCAATTACCATTTTAAATGAAGCCATCTAACTCTACCTTGAGCTAATGGACAGCCACTGGTGGGGCGAATGACCTGCTTGTTACTTTTATCCTATAGAGGCCCTGATGGTTGGATATTCCTGCAGTATGTTGAGCCTATGAAGCCTCTACAAAGCCAAAACAGGATTTGAGGGTGCGCTATTCCCAGTGAGGACAAAGCTAGACATAAAAAGCAGACAGAGGTCCTTACCTTTCCCTAATTTTTTAAGGCACTTTTTCACTTCCCCTGCAATAGAAAACTGCAAATACAGTACTTATTTCAGCAATGCAGCCTCCATCAAAGCCTCCAACAGTCAACTATTCCTCTGCTGCATGCTGTGGTTCTGTCCTCTGACCCCCATGTCACTACAGGGCTCAGCAGTGATGAGATATTCCCTATGTGGTTTAATCCATGTGTTTTAGGGTGAACAAGCTCACACAAATCAGCTTTCTGTTTCATTGCTCTACCTTTAGTAATTTACAGCTGCTCAGGTTGTTTCATGAAATTATGAGTCAATGTACATTTTTCTCTGTACTCCAGTGAGATTATGCATTGAACTATGTCCACGAACCTCCTTTCTACATTCACTCTTTGAACAGGGAAGGTATCACAAAAGTCTCATGCAGACTCTTTCTACATTCACTCTTTGGACAGGGAAGGTATCACGAAAGTCTCCTGCAGACTCTTTCTACATTCACTCTTTGGACAGGGAAGGTATCACGAAAGTCTCCTGCAGACTCTTTCTACTTTCACTCTTTGGACAGGGAAGGTATCACGAAAATCTCCTGCAGACTCTTTCTACATTCACTCTTTGGACAGGGAAGCTATCACGAAAGTCTCCTGCAGACTTTTTCTACATTCACTCTTTGGACAGGGAAGGTATCACGAAAGTCTCCTGCAGACTCTTTCTACATTCACTCTTTGGACAGGGAAGGTATCACACGAAAGTCTCCTGCAGGCTCTTTCTACATTCACTCTTTGGACAGGGAAGGTATCACGAAAGTCTCCTGCAGGCTCTTTCTACATTCACTCTTTGGACAGGGAAGGTATCACGAAAGTCTCCTGCAGACTCTTTCTACATTCACTCTTTGGACAGGGAAGCTATCACGAAAATCTCCTGCAGACTCTTTCTACATTCACTCTTTGGACAGGGAAGGTATCACGAAACTCTCCTGCAGACTCTCTTTCTACATTCACTCTTTGGACAGGGAAGGTATCATGAATGTCTCTTGCAGACTCTTTCTACATTCACTCTTTGGACAGGGAAGCTATCATGAAAGTCTTCTGCAGACTTTTGTGATTCTTGGTGTTCAGTCCAGATGATACCTGGCACCAGGCTCTGTTCCTCTCCTACGGCGTCAGGTATTTCATCTGTAGATTTAGCGGAGTTAAGCTTTATGTGCTACTTTCTAAATCTCTACATCTAAAGTATCACGAAAGTCTCCTGCAGACTCTTTTCTACATTCACTCTTTGGACAGGGAAGGTATCACGAAAGTCTCCTGCAGGCTCTTTCTACATTCAATCTCTGGACAGGGAAGGTGTCACGAAAGTCTCCTGCAGGCTGTTTGTACATACATTCACTCTTTGGACAGGGAAGGCATCACGAGAGTCTCCTGCAGACTCTTTCTACATTCACTCTTTGGACAGGGAAGGTATCACGAACGTCTCCTGCAGGCTCTTTCTACATTCACACTTTGGACAGGGAAGGTATCACGAAAGTCTCCTGCAGGCTCTTTCTACATTCACTCCTTGGACAGGGAAGGTATCACGAAAGTCTCCTGCAGACTCTTTCTACATTCACTTTCTGGACAGGGAAGGTATCACGAAAGTTTCCTGCAGACTCTTTCTACATTCACTCTCTGGACAGGGAAGGTATCACGAAAGTTTCCTGCAGGCTCTTTCTGCATTCACTCTCTTGGACAGGGAAGCTATCACGAAAGTCTCCTGCAGACTCTTTCTACATTCACTCTTTGGACAGGGAAGGTATCACGAAAGTCTCCTGCAGACTCTTTCTACATTCACTCTTTGGACAGGGAAGGTATCACGAAAGTCTCCTGCAGACTCTTTCTACATTCACTCTTTGGACAGGGAAGGTATCACGAAAGTCTCCTGCAGACTCTTTCTACATTCACTCTTTGGACAGGGAAGCTATCATGAAAGTCTTCTGCAGACTTTTGTGATTCTTGGTGTTCAGTCCAGATGATACCTGGCACCAGGCTCTGTTTCTCTCCTACGGCGTCAGGTATTTCATCTGTAGATTTAGCGGAGTTAAGCTTTATGTGCTACTTTCTAAATCTCTACATCTAAAGTATCACGAAAGTCTCCTGCAGACTCTTTCTACATTCACTCTTTTGGACAGGGAAGCTATCACGAAAGTCTCCTGCAGACTCTTTCTAAATTCACTCTTTGGACAGGGAAGGTATCACGAAAGTCTCCTGCAGACTCTTTCTACATTCACTCTTTGGACAGGGAAGGTATCACCAAAGTCTCCTGCAGACTCTTTCTACATTCACTCTTTGGACAGGGAAGGTATCACGAAACTCTCCTGCAGAATCTTTCTACATTCACTCTTTGGACAGGGAAGGTATCACAAAAGTCTCATGCAGACTCTTTCTACATTCACTCTTTTGGACAGGGAAGGTATCACAAAAGTCTCCTGCAGACTCTTTCTACATTCACTCTTTGGACAGGGAAGGTATCACGAAAGTCTCCTGCAGAATCTTTCTACATTCACTCTATGGACAGGGAAAGTATCACGAAAGTCTCCTGCAGACTCTTTCTACATTCACTCTTTGGACAGGGAAGGTATCACGAACGTCTCCTGCAGGCTCTTTCTACATTCAATCTCTGGACAGGGAAGGTGTCACGAAAGTCTCCTGCAGGCTGTTTGTACATTCACTCTTTGGACAGGGAAGGCATCACGAGAGTCTCCTGCAGACTCTTTCTACATTCACTCTTTGGACAGGGAAGGTATCACGAACGTCTCCTGCAGGCTCTTTCTACATTCACACTTTGGACAGGAAGGTATCACGAAAGTCTCCTGCAGGCTCTTTCTACATTCACTCCTTGGACAGGGAAGGTATCACGAAAGTCTCCTGCAGACTCTTTCTACATTCACTTTCTGGACAGGGAAGGTATCACGAAAGTTTCCTGCAGACTCTTTCTACATTCACTCTCTGGACAGGGAAGGTATCACGAAAGTCTCCTGCAGGCTCTTTCTGCATTCACTCTTTGGACAGGGAAGCTATCACGAAAGTCTCCTGCAGACTCTTTCTACATTCACTCTTTGGACAGGGAAGGTATCACGAAAGTCTCCTGCAGACTCTTTCTACATTCACTCTTTGGACAGGGAAGGTATCACGAAAGTCTCCTGCAGACTCTTTCTACATTCACTCTTTGGACAGGGAAGGTATCACGAAAGTCTCCTGCAGACTCTTTCTACATTCACTCTTTGGACAGGGAAGCTATCATGAAAGTCTTCTGCAGACTTTTGTGATTCTTGGTGTTCAGTCCAGATGATACCTGGCACCAGGCTCTGTTTCTCTCCTACGGCGTCAGGTATTTCATCTGTAGATTTAGCGGAGTTAAGCTTTATGTGCTACTTTCTAAATCTCTACATCTAAAGTATCACGAAAGTCTCCTGCAGACTCTTTCTACATTCACTCTTTTGGACAGGGAAGCTATCACGAAAGTCTCCTGCAGACTCTTTCTAAATTCACTCTTTGGACAGGGAAGGTATCACGAAAGTCTCCTGCAGACTCTTTCTACATTCACTCTTTGGACAGGGAAGGTATCACCAAAGTCTCCTGCAGACTCTTTCTACATTCACTCTTTGGACAGGGAAGGTATCACGAAACTCTCCTGCAGAATCTTTCTACATTCACTCTTTGGACAGGGAAGGTATCACAAAAGTCTCATGCAGACTCTTTCTACATTCACTCTTTGGACAGGGAAGGTATCACAAAAGTCTCCTGCAGACTCTTTCTACATTCACTCTTTGGACAGGGAAGGTATCACGAAAGTCTCCTGCAGAATCTTTCTACATTCACTCTATGGACAGGGAAAGTATCACGAAAGTCTCCTGCAGACTCTTTCTACATTCACTCTTTGGACAGGGAAGGTATCACGAACGTCTCCTGCAGGCTCTTTCTACATTCACTCTTTGGACAGGGAAGGTATCAGAACGTCTCCTGCAGGCTCTTTCTACATTCACTCTTTGGACAGGGAAGGTATCACGAAAGTCTCCTGCAGACTCTTTCTACATTCACTCTTTGGACAGGGAAGGTATCACGAAAGTCTCCTGCAGACTCTTTCTACATTCACTCTTTGGACAGGGAAGCTATCACGAAAGTCTCCTGCAGACTCTTTCTACATTCACTCTTTGGACAGGGAAGGTATCACGAAAGTCTCCTGCAGACTCTTTCTACATTCACTCTTTGGACAGGGAAGGAATCACAAAAGTCTCCTGCAGACTCTTTCTACATTCACTCTTTGGACAGGGAAGGAATCACAAAAGTCTCCTGCAGACTCTTTCTACATTCACTCTTTGGACAGGGAAGGTATCACGAAAGTCTCCTGCAGACTCTTTCTACATTCACTCTTTGGACAGGGAAGGAATCACAAAAGTCTCCTGCAGACTCTTTCTACATTCACTCTTTGGGCAGGATCACGAAAGTCTCCTTCAGACTTTCGTGATTTTTGGTGTTCAGTGCAGATGATACCTGGCACCAGGCTCTGTTCCTCCTCCTACGGCGTCAGGTATTTCATCTGTAGATTTAGTGGAGTTAAGCTTTATGTGCTACTTTCTAAATCTCTACATCTAAAGTCAAATCAAGTCATCGTTCCTTAAAAAAATACTTTAAAAAGGCAGAAACTTTATTTTCTGGTAACTAGCTGCTTTCAGTTCCAACCAAATCTTGGGAAGAAAAACACTATTATCCAATGAAAGGCTAATCTCCAGTGATATAGTCCTTGTAATATATGACTGGCTGATACATGGAGCAGATTTATGACAGAAACATCATTATCAAATCAGCATTTAGCAGGTGATTGGCGGGCAAAGTTCACCCAAAGGCTTGTAAAATGAATGCCAAAGAACTAGTAAACATGTCCCAACACCAAATGATGTTTATCAGACTGTTTAAGCTACAAAAGCACCTATTTTTTAAAAAGCCACATTTGTGTTGAATTTATTTTTTGTACACTTTGACACGGCGTGATAAGATATGAAATCATACTACTATGAACAATCACTGGGGTTCTTGTATTAAAGTTGAACTCTGGCCTTCTCTTCAGTCTTGCACAGTTTTATTGGCTCCTCTCCTGGACTGAAATGGCTTACTCTGATTTCACCGCACACCGTGAGCATCTCAGCTCAATTCCTGTACCTTCAGACCTCAGATCATCCCAATTCCTATACCATTGCACTTCAGATAGACCCAATTCCAGCAACTTCACACCTCAGATCAGCCCAGTTCCTACACCTTCACTCCTCAGATCACCCGAATTCCTGCACCTTCACCTCAGATCACCCCAATTCCTGTACCTTTACACCTCAGATCAACCCCATTCCAACGCCTTCATATCTCAGATCTCCCAGCTCCTGGCCCTTCACACCTGAGATCACCCCGGTTCCTGTACCTTCACACCTCAGACAACCCCATTCCAGCACCTTCATACCTCAGATCACCCAGCTCCTGGCCCTTCAAACCTGAGATCACCCAGCTCCTGTATCTTCACACCTCAGATCAGCCCAATTCAGGCACCTTCACACCCCAGACCAACCCCATTCCAGCACCTTCATACCTCAGATCACCCAGCTCCTGGCCCTTCACACCTCAGATCACCCTAATTCCTGTATCTTCACATCTCAGATCACCCCAATTCCTGCACCTTCACACCTCAGATCAACCCTATTCCAGCACCTTCATACCTCAGATCACCCAGCTCCTTACCCTTCACACCTCAGATCACCCCAATTCCTGTATCTTCACACCTCAGATCACTCCAATTCAGGCAGGTTCATACTTCAGATCACCCCAATTATTGCACCTTCACACCTCAGAATACCCCAATTCCTCCACCATTTGCACTTCAGATCACCCCAATTCCTGCACCTTCACACAACTCAGATCACCCCAGTTCCTGCTCCTTAACCCCTTAGATCACCCCAATTCCTGCACCTTCACACCTCAGATCATCCTCAATTCCTGCAACTTCACATTTCAGATCACCCAAATTCCTGTACCTTCACCCCTCAGATTATCCCAATTCCTGAACGATCAGACCCCAAATCTCCCCAATTCCTTCACCTTCACAACTCAGATAAGCCCTATTCCTGGCCTTTCACACATCAGATCACCCCTGATTCCTGTAGCTTCACACCTCAGATCATCCCATTCCTGCACCTTCACACCTCAGGTCGCCTCAGTTCCTGTATCTTCAAACCTGCACCATCAGACCCCAGACCACTCCAATTCCTGCACCTTGAAACCTCAGATCACCCCAATTCCTGTACCTTTATATCTCTGATCACCTCCAATTGCTCTACCGTCAAACCACAGATCACTGCCAATTCCTGTACCTTCGGACCTTGGATTAGCCCCAGTTACTGCACCTTCAGTCCTTAGACCAGCGCCAATTGCTCTACCATGAGACATCAAATAAGCCTCAATTGCTCTACCATCAGACCTCAGACCAGCCCCCAATCGCTCTACCATCAAACCTCAGATCAGCCCCAATTGCTCATCCATCAGACCTCAGATCATCCCCAATGGCTCTACCATCACACCAATTGCTGTGCCACCAGAAACAGGGTTTTACCTTGTGATACAGTTTTTTTTTCCCCAAAATGGAAATTTTCCTTCAATTTGCACTATGTGTTTTTCTGAGCGAGAAGGAACATTCTTTTAAGGACAGAGAAGTATACACTTTGGACAGAGAGGACAACTTGTTTGGAAGAAGTGTTATAGGGGCCATCCACATCAAATTCACGCCTTCAACACCATCTGTCAGCCACATACAGAATAATGTCCATCTGTTCATCTCTACTCTCTCTAGTTACAACAATTCACAGTTTCAGCCATGTGTTAGTGAACACCTGTACCAGGCTTTATGAAACAACGCTGGGTTGGAATTAAAGTGCAACTAAAGCCAAAAATAAAAGTTGAATATACTGCAGTTTACCAATCCTTTGCTGGGATGGCTGCACCAGTTTTCTTTTTTTCCTTCAGACAGTCCTCACAGAAACACACTTTCCTATGCTTGAGTGGCTATGCTCACTCCTCCATTGCATATATGGAGGTTGCCACCCAAGCTGGACTACAAACATATCTTCTTCTTTTCATCTTTATTACATGGGATTGGTAACGGGATTAGTAGTTTATAGAAGAAAGAGAAAATTGTTTATTCTTTCTGTTCAACTAACGGGAAGGGAAAGGGACATTTCTTTCAAGATCAACAGGTATTTTCTGTATTACTGAAAAGAAAAGAACACAATGCAGCCACCACCATGTTTTTGAACAGACAAAATCTGCCTTGACACATTCCATAGGGATTGAATACGATGAGTTACCCTTTTGGCTATAAATACTAGGGTATGTTCCTGACTCTCATTATAGCCGAGGAAGATACTCGGATGTTTGGTGAAACATTTCCAAAACCAGTCCAGCTGAATGTGACAACTGCTACTAGCTATACTTAGAGAATGGTCTTTTCAAAACGTTGAGTGTTATATCATTGAAAATGGTTGGAAAATGTACCACGATAAATTGTTTCATTTTGCAATTTTGTATCCTTAGTAATCAATGAAAACCTATTTTCACAGGCAAGGTCGGAAATGGACAAATATCTCCTTGGTCAACTCCCTGTACACCATTTTCTATCGGACAAGAAATACAGAAGGGAGAGTGCTTCGGTGGTGGATGAGTATTTTGAAGCGGAAAAGGTTCCTCAAGCTCCATACAGTGTGAATATAAACTTAATACTACCAGATACTTCTCACCTCCGTACCGGTCTGTTCAGACCTACAAAGACTTTCACTTTGCTCCCACAGATCAAAACTGAACCAGGGACCGATTTCCCCCAACCTTGCCCCATTTCCTTGACCCAGACCCTGCCAGATTTCACCAGTGTCTTTAGCATGCCACATGCGGTTCCAGCGAACAATATATTTATTAAGCAGGAGGCACAACCAGAAGTGCCGCTCACAACTAGCGACACACCCCAAACTCATCTGTACCATTTGTCCGTGGCTAATGATGCACTCAATTTGGTCCAAGCCAATGTAAGTACACCAGTGGTAAATGCAATTAGCTGCACTACCGCGACCACCACCAGTGGAAACCTTCCGACTTTGACCAATTCTACACGGCAACAACTTGGAAAGCAGTTTCATTGCTTGGGTCCAGATGGTAGCCTGGTTCCTGGGCAGTTTTTTCAGGCTCCCTCTGTCACCTTGCCACCTTCACCTCCCAATTCCCAGCCTGGGAGCCCAGAAAACACACCAGACTTAGTCAATAATATATCTCCCCCGCCGCCTTATGAGGCTACGTTTGGACTGAAACTGGTGCAAGTACCACAACTCCAAACTGTGTCCAATCCTCTGGGCTCTGTGCTACCACAAGGACAAATTATTATGACAGTACCAAGATTCAATCGGAGAAACAATCCTGAACTGGAAAAGAGGAGAATACATCACTGTGATTACCCAGGTATCAAAAATGTTTCTATTTTATTTATATTGCCTTTGGTCAGTCCATCTTGATAATTCATACCCATTATGTTACCCATGAATGGATGCATTGGGTGTAGTTCCGCTAGGGCTCCTGTGCAGGGGCGGACTGACAACTCATGGGGCCCCCGGGCAATAGGGGATCATGGGGCCCTGTGTCCTTGCCCAAACTCAAAAAAGCCTTTGAAAAAAGGTACCGGGGCATCTCATGGGGCCCCCTACTGACCCCGGGCCCTCGGGCAGTGCCCGAGTTTCCAAATGGTCAGTCCGCCCCTGCTCCTGTGAACATCTGCTGGGAATAAGCATTTTGCTCCTTACCATACCCCATCTTGGCTCTACTTCTATGTATACTATTTACCTTTCTGCAAAAATTCTATATCTTTAGTAAAATGCACTGGAGCGAATGGGGAAAGCAAATTGAAGGTGGTTTTTGGTGGTCATTAAGGGTTCAGTTGGCTTGAAATGGCTTCTGGTGGTCAGGTAAGCTCTTCTCAATCATCTTAGACCTGGTGTTAACCATACCCTTAGCCCAAATGGTAACGTAAAACTTAGTCAAACTTTAGTCCCAAAGGCAACCTTAACTCTTTGTTTATAAAGGGCTGCCATGGTGAACACATGGTTTTGTTGTTAAAAAAAAAAAAGAAGAAAAAAAGCAAAGTCATGCAGCACACCACTAGATATTTTTAAGTTAATGTTGCTTAGCAGTGAAACAATGGTGGACGTAGAGGCTAATTACAACATATTTTTATTCAAAGGTGAACCCGCTGTTTTTATGGCAAAATCAGGTTGGCCGAAATTTCCAACATATTTTTACTGTTTTGCCTCTGTTTTGCTGTTGAGCTGGATTTGGCCCTCAGGAAAATCCTAAGAAAGTAGAGAACCTTACATCCATACACTGTATACCTACACTATATGGCCTAACAAATGTAAATACCCTTTCCGAATGACTGAGTGCAGGTATTTCCAGTGAAGGTACTCTGAATACTACAGCATACAAAGACAGTGGTTCCCAACATCAACGTCCTCAAGTACTTCCAACAGGTCATGTCTTTGAGATTTCCTTCACCATGCAGAGGTGCTGTAAATCAACGTCAATGGCTTTATGAGTTATGTTTATGAGTTACTTTATCCATTTCCAAAACATAGCCTGTTGGGGGTATTTGAGGTTGAGAACCTCTGTTTTCGACAACTGTAGCTCCAACCTTGTGGTAACAGTTTGGTGAAGGCCCTCTTCTGTTCCAACATGACTATGTCCCTATGTGCAAAGCCATCTACATACAGACATGGTTGGATGAGCTTGGTGTGAAGGAACTAGAGTGGCCTACACAAAGCTATGACTTAATTTCTACTGAACATCTTTGTACATAGCGAGCTGTAAAAGGCATTGGTTTAGTGTGGAGGAACTAGAGTGGCCTGCACAAACCCCTACCTCAGCCCTACTGAACATCTTTGTACATAGCCAGCTCCACAAAGCATTGGTTTAGTGTGGAGGAACTAGAGTGGCCTGCACAAACCCCTACCTCAGCCCTACTGAACATCTTTGTACATAGCCAGCTCCACAAAGCATTGGTTCAGTGTGGAGGAACTAGAGTGGCCTGCACAAAACCCTGACCTCAGCCCTACTGAACACCTTTTTGTACATAGCCAGCTCCACAAAGAAATGCTTTAGTGTGGAGGAACGAGAGTGGCCTGCACAAAACCCCTACCTAAGCCCTACTGAACATCTTTGTACATAGCCAGCTCCACAAAGAAATGGTTTACTGTGCAGGAACGAGAGTGGTCTGCACAAAACCCCAACTTCAGCCCTACTGAACACCTTTTGTACATAGCCAGCTCCACAAAGAAATGGTTTAGTGTGGAGGAACGAGAGTGGCCTGCACAAAACCCCAACTTCAGCCCTACTGATCACCTTTGTACATAGCCAGCTCCACAAAAAAATGGTTTAGTGTGGAGGAACGAGAGTGGCCTGCACAAACCCCTACCTCAGCCCTACTGATCACCTTTGTACATAGCCAGCTCCACAAAGAAATGGTTTAGTGTGGAGGAACGAGAGTGGCCTGCACAAAACCCCTACCTCAGCCCTACTGAACACCTTTGTACATAACCAGCTGCAAAAAGCATTGGTTTAGTGTGGAGGAACTAGAGTGGCCTGCACAAAACCCCTACCTCAGCCCTACTGAACATCTTTCTACATAGCCAGCTCCACAAAGCATTGGTTTAGTGTGGAGGAACTAGAGTAGCCTGCACAAAACCCTGACCTCAGCCCTACTGAAAACCTTAGTACATAGCCAGCGTTTAGTGTGGAGGAACGAGAGTGGCCTGCACAAAACCCCAACTTCAGTCCTACTGAAAACCTTTGTACATAGGCTTCACAAAGATATAGTTAGACCAGTTTAGTGTGGAGGAAACCCTCAACCCTATTGAGCACCTTCAAGAACAATTGGAATGCAGATTTTGACCCAGGACTTCTCATCTGACCTCATAAATGCACTTTTGGCTCATTGAGCACAAATAGAGGCTTTAATGGCCATAAATGTGTTGGTGGGGCAGTGCCATACTATTGACCATGGTTTTAGAATGTGATGTCCAACAAGGTCATATAGTTGTAACGGTCAGGTGTCCACTAACGTTCGGCCATATAATGTATCAATTATTTTGTGTCAGGACATCACCACCCCACCTCTCCACCTTGTCCATTCAGAGAAAGAAGAACAATCACTGAATGGCACCCTTGGCCAGCAGCCAACCTCTTGTATTCCCAATGCAGCAGGGCAGCTGCTTTGCATGGAACCCAGAAGCTAGTGGAGATCACTGGGGCAGCCGTATCTATACAGTGATTTCCAGCTTACAGGGGGATCCCACAGGCATGGTATATGTCATGGCTACATTGCTTCAATCTGGAACAATGTAACTACATAAAACTATCCATACCTGGAATTCTCCTCTTTAAAATAAATATCAGTTTCGAATTATCAGAGAAAAATAAATCTGATCAGAATTGTATTACCTGCTACAAGCAAAAGCTATATTTAATTTTTTCCAGTTTTTATTAAAATGCAGCTAACCAATAATTAAATGTAGCGGCTGCATTCGTTTTTATTTTTTTCACCTGATGATCCTGCCAGTGACACACTTCCTGTCTTAGGGTGACAACGCTCGCTGTACTGAATCTATGGAGGGAGCAGTGTTGTCACTCAAAGATAGGACAACAGAACGTATTCCTATCTTCTCTTTCCCATAACATAGAGGGAAAAGGTACTGTAGTCCTGAGAGATAGCTGGGAACAATGTAACTGATTGGAATGCAGAAAACACTGGATGTTATCAGCTCATTGGATTTCTGGCAGGATCAACAGGTATTTTTTGTGCACCTATTGAACAGATATAACAAAAACACTTTCAATGGTATATTTATCAGATGAAAGGGAGGTAAATAGGAAAAGTGAACTGCTTAGGATTTATATATCCTTTAAAGTGTTACTAAACCCACAACAGTACAATCAGTCTGTAGATGCAGTAAAGCATGCTGGTTATACTCACTGTGGAACCTAAGGGGTTAATCCTCTGCATTGTATAAAAAAAAAGGCTGTTTGATCCTGTCTTCTCTTATCCTCCCCTTCTTCTTCTGTCCACAATCCATTTCCTGATAATACAGAGCCTTGGGGGCAAGCTGCACATGCTTAGTTTGGTGTGTATTGCTAGAGAGTTTTTTTTTTTCTTGGGAAAGTGCATGTGATCAGCACAGGGCCAATCAGCACTGTCCAGACAGAGAGTAAAAGGTTATGCAGCCTCATAGGACAATCAGGGGAGAATGACAACTCATCCTACAAGTGTTAACCAAGAAGTCACATGACTGCTATATACTGCTGATGAGAAAAGGTATTTAGCAGTTTATATTTACTAAAATATTTTAATTTCCATGTTCTGTGTACTGTGGGAGAGCAGATATAGTGAATGCAGGGTCCGGGGAGAGCGGATATAGTGAATGCAGGGTCCGGGGAGAGCGGATATAGTGAATGCAGGGTCTGGGGAGAGCGGATATAGTGAATGCGGGGTCCGGGGAGCGGATATAGTGAATGCAGGGTCCAGGGAGACCAGATATAGTGAATGCAGGGTCCGGGGAGAGCGGATATAGTGAATGCAGGGTCCGGGGAGAGCGGATATAGTGAATGCAGGGTCCAGGGAGACCAGATATAGTGAATGCAGGGTCCGGGGAGAGAGCAGATATAGTGAATGCAGGGTCCGGGGAGAACAGATATAGTGAATTCTGAGGCCGGGGGAGCGCATATAGTGAATACAGGGTCCGGGGAGAGCGGATATAGTGAACGCAGGGTCCAGGGAGTGCAGATATAGTGAATGCAAGGTCCGGGAGAGTAGATATAGTGAATACAAGGTCCGGGGAGAGCGGATATAGTGAATGCGGGGTCCGGGGAGAACAGATATAGTGAATGCGGGGTCCGGGGAGAACAGATATAGTGAATTCTGAGGCCGGGGAGAGCGGATATAGTGAATGCAGGGTCTGGGGAGACCAGATATAGTGAATGCAGGGTCCGGTGAGACCTGATATAGTGAATGCAGGGTCCGGGGAGAGCGGATATAGTGAATGCGGGGTCCGGAGAGAGCGGATATAGTGAATGCGGGGTCCGGGGAGAGGGATATAGTGAATGCAGGGTCCGGGGAGACCAGGTATAGTGGAATGCAGGGTCCGGGAGACGGATATAGTGAATGCAGGGTCCGGGGAGAGCGGATATAGTGAATGCAGGGTCCGGGAAGAGCGGATATAGTGAATGCAGGGTCCGGGAGAGCGGATATAGTGAATGCAGGGTCCGGGGAGAGCGGATATAGGAATATAGTGAATGCAGGGTCCGGGGAGAGCGGATATAGTGAATGCAGGGTCCGGGGAGAGCGGATATAGTGAATGCAGGGTCCGGGGAGACGGATATAGTGAATGCGGGTCCGGGGAGAGCGGATATAGTGAATGCAGGGGTCCGGGGAGAGCGGATATAGTGAATGCAGGGTCCGGGAGAGCGGATATAGTGAATGCGGGGTCCGGGGAGAGCGGATATAGTGAATGCAGGGTCCGGGGAGAGCGGATATAGTGAATGCGGGTCCGGGGAGAGCCGATATAGTGAATGCAGGGTCCGGGGAGAGCGGATATAGTGAATGCAGGGTCCGGGGAGAGCGGATATAGTGAATGCAGGGTCCGGGGAGACCGGATATAGTGAATGCAGGGTCCGGGGAGCAGATATAGTGAATGCAGGGTCCGGGGAGAGCGGATATAGTGAATGCAGGGTCCGGGGAGAGCGGATATAGTGAATGCGGGTCCGGGGAGACCAGATATAGTGAATGCGGGGTTCCGGGGAGAGCGGATATAGTGAATGCAGGGTCCGGGGAGACCAGATATAGTGAATGCAGGGGTCCGGGGAGAGCGGATATAGTGAATGCAGGGTCCAGGGAGAGCGGATATAGTGAATGCAGGGTCCGGGGAGACCAGATATAGTGAATGCAGGGTCCGGGAGAGCGGATATAGTGAATGCAGGGTCCGGGGAGAGCGGATATAGTAATGCAGGGTCCGGGGAGATATATATAGTGAATAGTGCAAGGCAGGGTCCGGGGAGAGCGGATATAGTGAATGCAGGGTCCGGGGAGAGCAGATATAGTGAATGCAGGGTCCGGGAGAGACCAGATATAGTGAATGTGGGGTCCGGGGAGACCGGATATAGTGAATGCAGGGTCCGGGGAGAGCGGATATAGTGAATGCAGGGTCCGGGGAGAGCCGATATAGTGAATGCAGGGTCCGGGGAGACCGGATATAGTGAATGCGGGGTCCGGGAGAGCGGATATAGTGAATGCAGGGTCCGGGGAGACCAGATATAGTGAATGCGGGGTCCGGGAGAGCGGATATAGTGAATGCGGGGTCCGGGGAGAGCGGATATAGTGAATGCGGGGTCGGGGAGACGGATATAGTGAATGCAGGGTCCGGGGAGACCGGATATAGTGAATGCAGGGTCCGGGAGAGCGGATATAGTGAATGCAGGGTCCGGGGAGAGCGGATATAGTGAATGCGGGGTCGGGGAGAGCAGATATAGTGAATGCGGGGTCCGGGGAGACCGGATATAGTGAATGCAGGGTCCGGGGAGAGACGGATATAGTGAATGCGGGTCCGGGAGAGCGGATATAGTGAATGCGGGGTCCGGGGGAGAGCGATATAGTGAATGCAGGGTCCAGGGAGACCAGATATAGTGAATGCAGGGTCCGGGGAGAGCAGATATAGTGAATGCAGGGTCCGGGGAGAGCGGATATAGTGAATGCAGGGTCCGGGGAGACCAGATATAGTGAATGCAGGGTCCGGGGAGACCGGATATAGTGAAGGCAGGGTCCGGGGAGAGCGGATATAGTGAATGCAGGGTCCGGGGAGAGCAGATATAGTGAATGCAGGGTCCGGGGAGACCAGATATAGTGAATGTGGGGTCCGGGGAGAGCGGATATAGTGAATGCAGGGTCCGGGGAGAGCGGATATAGTGAATGCAGGGTCCGGGGAGACCGGATATAGTGAATGCAGGGTCCAGGGAGACCGGATATAGTGAATGCAGGGTCCAGGGAGACCGGATATAGTGAATGCAGGGTCCAGGGAGACGGATATAGTGAATGCAGGGTCCAGGGTTTAGTAACACACTAAGTAATTTAATATAGAAATGTGATTTTATGAGCTATAGAGGAATACATTGTCTTCAACATTTGTTTTATTTTCGTAGTATAAAAAAAAGCATTCATGGATTTTTCAGTGTGTACCTGTATTGTTTTTTTTTTTCTCAGGTTGTACAAAAGTCTACACCAAGAGTTCACACCTCAAGGCACATCAAAGAACACACACAGGTATTAACTCTAAAAAATCTGACATGTTTTAGGTCTGTTCTAATCTTGTACTCTTGGCTACAGCGACATTCTGAATGATGATATCCATGGTGTATCTATATATATAAATATATCTATCTATCTATTATCTATCTATCTATCTATTATCTATCTATCTATTATCTATCTATTATCTATCTATTATCTATCTATCTATCTATTATCTATCTATTATCTATCTATCTATCTATTATCTATCTATCTATCTATCTATCTGTATCTATCTATCTATCTATTATCTATCTATCTATCTATCTATCTATCTATCTATTATCTATCTATTATCTATCTATCTATCTATATCTATCTATCTATCTATTATTATTATTATCTATCTATATCTATCTATCTATCTATTATCTATCTATCTATCTATCTATCTATCTATCTATCTATCTATCTATCTATCTATCTATCTATCTATCTATCTATCTATCTATTATCTATCTATCTATCTATTATCTATCTATCTATTATCTATCTATCTATCTTATCTATCTATCTATCTATCTATCTATCTATCTATCTATCTATCTATCTATCTATTATCTATCTATCTATCTATCTATCTATCTATCTATCTATCTATCTATCTATCTATCTATCTATCTATCTATCTATCTATCTATCTATCTATCTATCTATCTATCTATCTATCTATTATCTATCTATCTATCTATCTATCTATCTATATTATCTATCTATCTATCTATTATCTATCTATCTATCTATCTATCTATTATCTATCTATCTATCTATCTATCTATCTATCTATCTATCTATCTATCTATCTATCTATCTATCTATCTATCTATCTATCTATCTATCTATCTATCTATCTATCTATCTATCTATCTATCTATCTATCTATCTATCTATCTATCTATCTATCTATCTATCTATCTATCTATCTATCTATCTATCTATCTATCTATCTATCTTATCTATCTATCTATCTATCTATCTATCTATATCTATCTATCTATCTATCTATCTATCTATCTATACATATATACACATATTACTTTTTTTGTTTTGTTTTGTTTATTGTAATGTATTTTATATATATATATATATATATATATATATATTATATATATATATATATATATAATATATATATAATGCTGGTGGGAGATCTTTTGTTGCTGGGGTGGGTTTTATGTTGTTGAGGGGGTCAATTGTTGATAGGATGGATCTACTGTTGAGAGAAGAGTCTAAAATTGCTAACTGCTGGGGATCTATTGCTGATGAGGGGGTTCTGTTGTTGCTGGGGGTAAATTGTTGCTGGGGAGATCTATTGTTGTTGGGGAGGGGGTCTATTTTTGTGGAGGGGTTTATTGTACTAGGGAGGTCTACTGATGCTGGTGGGGAATCTATTGTTGCTGGGGGTAGGTCTTATGTTGCTGGGGGGTCAATAGTTGATAGGATGGATCTACTGCTGAGAGAGGAGTCTAAAATTGCTAACTGCTGGGGATCTATTGCTGATGAGGGGGTTCTGTTGTTGCTGAGGGATCTATTGTTGTTGGGGAGGGGGTCTATCTTTGTGGAGGGGTCTATTGTACTAGGGAGGTCTACTGATGCTGGCGAGGAATCTATTGTTGCTGGTGGTGGGTCTTATGTTGTTGAGAGGTCAATTGTTGATAGGATGGATCTACTGTTGAGAGAGGAGTCTAAAATTGCTAACTGCTGGGGATCTCTTGCTGATAAGGGGGTTCTGTTGTTGCTGGGGGGAGGATCAATTTTTTCTGGGGAGATCTATTGTTGTTGGGGAGGGGGGGTCTATTTTTGTGGAGGAGTCTATTGTACTAGGGAGGTCTACTGATGCTGGTGGGGAATCTATTATTGCTGGGGGTAGGTCTAATGTTGCTGGGGGGGTCAATTATTGATAGGATGGATCTACTGTTGAGAAAGGAGTCTAATATTGCTTACTGCTGGGGATCTATTGTTGCTGGGGGAGGGTCTATTGTTGCTGGCTGCAGATTATATATTTTACCGCCTTTCTTAAAATAACAAATTCCATACAAATTACTTAGCACCACAAAATGATACTGTTCTGTATTCTCTAAAAGGGCGGTACAGGGAGGGGGTGGAACCAAGGAACAGTGCTCGGGGGTGGGTAGGGGGCGGAGACAAGGGGTGGCTCAGAAAGGGAGAGTTTCCGCACCTATTGTCTGAGAAAAAAAAGCCCTGTGTGTGAGGGTCTATTCATAAAGCATTTGCCATGTAAATGTATTTGCACAGCCATTACAAATAATCCTCGTAATTTTTCTAAAGTGTTTATTTCCGATGATCACCACCTCCATCTAGTGGCCATAACGCAGTGTTTTCCTGATTGAGGCATTTTAGGAAAATACCACAATATGGCCACTAGGTAGCGCTAACGATCATAGAAAATAAACATATTAACCGCTTTACCACCACCCTATAGCAGAAATACTGCTACTGGGTGGCACGGCTGTGCAAAATCACGTATATAGATGTGATTGTGCACTTCCGGGTAGGGGGCGCGCTCCCTACCCACGCCGCCATTGGCGGCCTCACCCGTCAACCACAAGGTCCCGGCTGGTGATTCCCCGCCGACACCCGTCACCACCGAGTATCACCGATGGGGGAGAGACCTGTATGGAAACAATACAGATCTCTCCCCTGTCAGCTCCTGCACACTGCTTTGTATGGCTGTGCATAGCAGAGCCATACAAAGCAGTGTGCTTACAGTGAAGCACTCACACAGAACACAGTTAGCCCTTTGATCGCCCCACATGTTAACCCCTTCCTGCCCAGTGCCATTAGCACAGTGTCAGTGCTTTGTATTAGCACTGATCATTGTATTGGTGTCACTGGGGATGTTAGTGACACCAAGTCAGTTCCCCCCCGCCCCCAGTGTCAGAATGCCCGCCGCAGTCCCGCAGTCCTACTATAAGTCACCGATCGCCGCCATTACTAGTATAAAAAAAAAAAAAAAAAAATCCCAGTATCTATACCGCCATTTGTAAACGCTATAAATTTCACGTAAACCAATTAATTTACAAATATTGGGATCTTTTTTCAGCAAAGACACGGAGCAGAATACATTTTGGCCTAAATTTATGACGAAATTAGATTTTTTCAAATTTTTTTACTGGACGTGTTTAATAGCAAAAAGTCAAAAATATTGTTTTTTTTTTCTCTTTTTTTTTTACCGCAAAAAATAAAAAACGCACAGGCGATCAAATACCACCGAAAGAAAGCTCAATTTGTGGGGAAAAAAGGACGTAAATTCCATTTGGGTGAGGCGTCGCATGACCGCGCAATTGATAGTTAATGTAACGCAGCGCCGTATCGCAAAAAATGGCCTGGTCAGGAGGGGGGGGGGGGGATCCTCGGGAGGGCAAGGGGTTAAACACAATAGGGTGACCCTGTAGTGGGAGGGGCCTGCTGCTGAAATGTTAATTACAGTGATAGCTGTCAGTTACAACAGAACTATGTATATCTTATAATAACGTCTATTATTTATTATTTCAGGTACTTATATAGCGCCATCAATTTACACAGCGCTTTACATATATATTGTACATTGACATCCCTAACCCTCAAGGGGCGTACAATCAAGTCCCTAACCCTCAAGGGGCGACAATCTAAGGTCATAACCCTCAAGGAGCGTACAATCTAAGGTCCCTAACCCTCAAGGAGCGTACAATCTAAGGTCCCTAACCCTCAAGGGGCGTACAATCTAAGTTCCCTAACCCTCAAGGAGCGTACAATCTAAGGTCCCTAACCCTCAAGGGGCGTACAATCTAAGGTCCCTAACCCTCAAGGGGCGTACAATCTAAGGTCCCTAACCCTCAAGGGGCGTACAATCTAAGGTCCCTAACCCTCAAGGAGCATACAATCTAAGGTCCCTAACCCTCAAGGAGCGTACAATCTAAGGTCCCTAACCCTCAAGGGGCGTACAATCATAAAGGTCAATCTAAGGTCCCTAACTAACCCTCAAGGGGCCGTACAAGGGGAAGCATCTCTAAGTTCCCTAACCCTCAAGGGGCGTACAATCTAAGGTCAGTACAATCTAAGTCCCTAACCCTCAAGGGGCGTACAATCTAAGGTCCCTAACCCTCAAGGGGCGTACAATCTAAGGTCCCTAACCCTCAAGGAGCGTACAATCTAAGGTCCCTAACCCTCAAGGGGCGTACAATCTAAGGTCCCTAACCCTCAAGGGGCGTACAATCTAAGGTCCCTAACCCTCAAGGGGCGTACAATCTAAGGTCCCTAACCCTCAAGGGCGTACAATCTAAGGTCCCTAACCCTCAAGGGGCGTACCCTCTCAAGGAGCGTACAATCAAGGTCCCTAACCCTCAAGGGGCGTACAATCAATCTAACCCTCAAGGTCAATCTAACCCTAACCCTCAAGGGGCGTACAATCTAAGGTCCCTAACCCTCAAGGGGCATACAATCTAAGGTCCCTAACCCTCAAGGGGCGTACAATCTAAGGTCCCTAACCCTCAAGGGGCGTACAATCTAAGGTCCCTAACCCTCAAGGGGCAACAATCTAAGGTCCCTAACCCTCAAGGGGCGTACAATCTAAGGTCCCTAACCCTCAAGGGGCGTACAATCTAAGGTCCCTAACCCTCAAGGGGCGTACAATCTAAGGTCCCTAACCCTCAAGGGGCGACAATCTAAGGTCCCTAACCCTCAAGGGGCGACAATCTAAGGTCACTAACTCACATTCATTCATGCACATACTACTCTCTAGCTCCCTTTTCCCTCCTCTCATGCTCTCATGCTCATCTCCAGGACTTCTCCAGAGCTTCCCCCATCCTCTGGAACTCTCTACCCCAATTTATCAGACTATCGCTTACTCTGCTCACTTTTAGGCGATCTCTGAAAACCGATCTCTTCAGGGAAGCCTATCCTGCCCTCAACTAATAATGGAATCTTCTACACTTATTTACTTCAGGTACTTATATATCTCCGTCAATTTACGC